GCTGTATAACAGTATTGCCACACACTTAAATGGCTTCAAATTGCACACATTTATCATCTATTAGTTCCCAGGGGTCCAGGCTTTATGCACAGCTTAGCTGGTACTCTGCTTAGATTCCCACAAGACTGCATGAAGTAAGGTGGTGGCTGAAGCTATGATCTAATCGGAGGTTGCATTTGCTTAATTTGTATATTAATAGATTTCAAATACGAAGTCTAACTCCATGGCATTTCTCATGTCAAAGAAAAAGGGAACACAAATATATTTTTCACTAACTTCAATAACAAGTCAGAGAACCAAATGATTGTAGGTCAGAAGGTTTTTTTTTTTTTTTTTTGCGGAACTGGGGATTGAACTCAGGCCCTTGCGCTTGCCAGGGAAGCACTTATTCCACTAAGCCATCTCCCCAGCCCCCAGAAAGTATATTTTGGAAGAAACTACATTATGAAAGTCTATAAGCAATGTTTACAGACTATGGTAAATACATTTAATTGAGATGCTCCTCTAATCCCCACCTCTTGGTGTTTGTGCCCTGTTATGATTCCCATCCCCTGCGGTATGGTGGGACCTGTGACTTGCTTCTAACCAACAGAGTACGTCAAAGGTAACAGGATTTATGCACAGTGCACTTGTCATTGCATTACATAAGATCATTGCTGCTGCCTCTTCCTTCTCTCCTTTTTGTCTGTTTGAAACAGGGTCTTGCTTTGCAGTTCAGGTTGGCCTTGAGCTCACTTTATAGCCCAGGCTAGTCTCAAACTCCCCCAAATCCTCCTGCCTCAAGCCTCCCAAGTACTTGGATTGCAGGCATGTGCCTCCATGTCTAGCTCTGACTCTCTTCTCTCTAGCCATAGTGAGAAGCACCATGTAGCAAGGAGTTGCATGTGGCCTCTAGGAACTAAGGGTGGCTTCCAGCTGACAACAAGAAACTGAAGCCCTGAGTTGTACACCCTGAAGGGGTCTGAAGACTGTCAACAGAAATCTATTAGTATACAAATTAACTACAGGATAAATTGTACACATACATCTACATAGTATTAGACTATAGACAAAACTATGCTGACTGTGTCTAATGGATGATTTTAAGTAATTGAAGAATAGTCTTAATTTTACATGATTTTCTATACACTAACCAGTATTAACCCTAACTGCTTTGTAAGATACAATTCCACCGCACCCTGAAATATTCTTCATGTTTACTGTTGTTTGTGGCAGTGGCATTTGTGTCAAGGAGTTTTGGAGAAAGAGTGCATTTGCTACTATGACAATTACATTAGCATTACTTGGTTAGTTTCAATCCAGTCTTCTGATCACCTATTTCTTAGTTTTTCACTTTCCAGGCTCCGTATCATTTTAAAATAATTGATTCTTCTTGTCCTGTTACAATTTAATGGATCCTTTCTCTGATCCACTCCCTTCCATTGTGTCTTCATACACATTTCCATGGGTCATGACTTGGAACTGGGCGAGATTGTATTTGGAGGTGTTGCACTGAAGTATTGGAGCTTTGCATTTAGAGTGTAATTTGTGTTAATTTAATTGATAACAAGTACACAGTCACCTTCTATGTACCATTTTAGGCTTCTTGTCTACTCTTCCTGTCTAGCTTCTAAGCAGCATACTCTCTTCCATTTTATCTTCTGCCTTTGAGTTCAGAAGACCACATCTTTTGTGAATTTTGGGATTTCTTTCATTTTTACTAATTTTCTTAAAGACTAAGAATAAAGTGAATTATATCCTTGTACTAAATTATATTCTTCATATGTATTTCTTTCAGATAAGTGTTTTTACCCATCTGTTATTTTCTTATATTGGATCTATTTGTTCAGTGACAACAAAACACCTGTACTTCTGATGACCAAATATAAAAATACATTGCTTCTGAAGCCTTGGCAGGATGTTTATATTTTTGCAATTTGATCAAAATAGTCCACGTTATCAACTTGTGATCAAAATCTTTATTTTCCTTTTGCTATAATTCTATTGCTTCCTCTTCTAAAAATTTGTCTAAGCATTTAGCACCCTACATTTCTCAGTGGAAAAAAGGCACATCAGTACTTGATTTCCCAAGATACAATGTTGCAATAGCTGATAGGCTGAAAACTACCCTGACCTACACTTCTAGCCCAGTAGCTTTTATTTATTTATTTATTTATTTATTTATTTGAGAGAGAGAGAGAGAGAGAGAGAGAGAGAGAGAGAGAGAGAGGCCAGCTCAGCCCACCAGGGGGCGGGCTGGCTGGCATGTGGTGCTGGGGGATTGAACCGCGGTCCCTGATGCTTTTGCTAAGCTTGTTCTAAGTAGGTGCTTTAGACCACTGAGCCATCTCTCCAGCCCCCCAGTAGCTTTTTAAAACTTCATAGATTAACTTTACTTACCTAAAATAATTGAAAATGCATGCATTTCTTAGTTAAATGTCCTTTAGACACAGTGTCTTTTTTACATCTTAAAATGTTTAACATATTAAGCTAATAAAATATAATCTTTCCTATTTTATGTTTTAGAGGAAGCAAAAATTTAAATTACATATTGTTCCCATATGTATTTGGTACAGGGTCTCACTACGCAGCTCAGACTCAGTGATCCTCCTGTTTTCAGCCTCCCCCGTGCTGGGATTACAGGTGTGCACCACCATCCTGGGTCTTGTAGGCCGGCTCAGTGCACCCAGGGGTGGGGCCAGGGCCAGGGCCAGGGCCAGGGCCAGTGTGGCATGTGGTGCTGGGGCCCATCATATTATTATTGGACAGCACTGATCTAGAGACGCTTACGTGTACTAGTATTTGACAGTTACTACCTCCTACCTGTCTGCTTGAAAGGAAATTTCAGAGTAAAGTTGCGTCTTTCTAAATGAAAATTTTACTTAATTCTCTTGAATGGTCCCACTTAAATATGTAAACATATCAAAGTTTGGATGTGTATTAAGAATTTGGGGGAGAACAGGAGGTAGATTCAAGTGCCTATGTATTTTTTCTGCCCCTCACTTTTTGCTCTACCATTGAGCTACATCTCCAGCCCAGTCCCTTCTGTACTTGCACAGTTATGTCGCACCTGCATAGTTATGTCACATCTGCATCTCAAATAATTTTATTGTTACAATGTCACTGTATAAAGAAAACAGTGGTGGCACTCTGCACCTTCTCAGTAATACATAGTGAATTCTTATATAGGCTATGAATGATGGGATGTGTTAATGTATTCACTGTAGTTTGTTTTTATCCTAACATTTGCCAGCAAGAAGGAATGATCATTTGTAATGCAGTCACTGGTAACTGATTCCTACATTTACTGTCCCCTGACATTTGGTTTCAAGTTACTCAGTGGAAGTGATTTACATTAATTATCTGTATAAATTAAAATCAGAGCAAAAAATAGAATTCCTAATGATCTGTGCTAATACATTTTTTGCCCTCAGGATTTTTAATATCTTCACTGAGATATAATTCATATACCACAACATTCACCACATTGAAGTACACATCAGTGGTTTTTAGTATTCACAGATTTTTAGAATCGGTAGTAGTAACTTAGAGTATCTTTATTACCCCCCAAAAGAAACTCCATAACTGCCTCCCTCCATATCTAAGCAACCTCTCATCTACTTTCTCTCTCTGAGTTTGCCTATTCAAGACATTTCATATAAATGGACTCATACAATACTGTGTGTGGTATTTTGTGCTTAGCTTCTTTCACTCTGTGTATGTAGTAATTTGAGGGCATATCCATGTTGTAGCATGCACCACTATTTCATCCCTTCTCAGGGCCAAATAATTTTCCAGTGGGTGGTTATATCACATTTTTACCCATTCACCAGTTCATAGAATTTGGCTGACTTCTTTAACACTTAAAAAAAAGAATACATGGGCCAGCCAAATAGCTCAGTGGATTAAAATGCCTGCAAGCAGGCACAGGGGCCTGGGGCTCAATCCTCGGGCCTGCCATGCTGGCCCTGCCATGCTGGCCCTGCCCCAGAGCGTGCTGAGAAGGCAATTGAGACTGGGTGTGGTGGCATGTACCTGTAATCCCAGCTCTTGGGAGGCTATAAACAGGCGGATCACTACGAGTTTGATCTAGTAGTGACACCCTGAACACCCTGTAGACCCTTCCTTAAAATACGAAGAAAAAGAAACACCAGTGGGAAAAAAAGAATATAATATTTATATTTAGTAACAGTCATCATATGTATTTTCATATAGAGCCTCATGGTAGTTTATTTGGGTAAGTACTGTTACAGTCACCATCACTTTATAGGTAAAGAAATGGAGCTCAAAAGAGCCTGAGTCATAGACATGGTGCATGCCTATAGTCCCAGCATTTGGGAGGTTGAAGCAGGAGTATCAAAAGTTCTAGGTCAGCCTGGGTACATAGCAGAAGGCTTCCCTGGATTACGTAGCAAGACCTTGTCTCAAGAAAATAAACAACAAAAAACATTTGTAATTTGTCTAAGATCATATAGAAGTGCTACCATTGGAATCTAGTTCATTTGCCTCTGAATTGTATGTTTGTGTGCGTGTAACTATAACCCCCCTCCAACCCTTGGTGCCTGGCTGTAAAGAGTAATTACTTAGGAGCTAAACTCTGATAATGATTTTCCTCAATTTTCTATGCTAGTAGATATAAAAACTAGACTGAAAGAAAATTCTAATGTGGCCTCACCCAGTAACTTTATGGACAAAATTGTAAATGTATTCTAGATGACCACCTACCTCAGTAGCTTAGCAATAGTGAAAAATGTTTTATAATCTCAAAGTGCTCAGAAGATAGACGTCCACCTATAGCAACATGTGCAAGGATAGGCTGGACAACTACTATTTTCCTATCCCAGAAAAGACTTACATTAGTGAGTTAGATAAAACTGTGTTTGTATTATTATTTTTATGGGAGTTCCAATGTTGAATTATTTGGATTGTATCCATCTGGTAGTGTCATAGAGAATGTGCTCACTCAGACTTTCATGATGATAACTCATATTCTATCTCTGATTTCTTTTTCCCCTACTTAGGGTTCTGTAGCTATAGCTGGTGCTGTTATTCGCTGGCTAAGAGACAATCTTGGAATTATTAAGACCTCAGATGAAATAGGTGAGTATGTTCTCACAAAGAATGAGAAAATCTGGTGAAAAATTTTAATATTTACTGCTGCAATTTATAAATACTTATGCTTCACCACGAATGTGATCCCTGAATTATGTAAACTCCTATTTGACTTGTATAAAAGGGATTACTTTGTGAAGATTGATTAAACAATAAATTGACATACTTAGTGCTGGTTAATAATAAACTGAGAAGTCAGGGCTTAAAAATTACTCATGTGAGGGGACCAGGGAGATAGTAGAATAAGTGCTTGCCTGGCAAGCTCAGGGTCCTAAGTTTGATCCCCAGTCCCCACACACACACAAAAAAAATTACTCATGTGTAAAATTGAACACCAGAGATTGCCCAAATCTGCAGGTAAAGGTAGTAGTTTAGTTACATTTATCTGATGAAGTGGAATTTTAACTTCTAGATAAAACTCTGATCTATAGTATTATAATACTATAATTTAAGTACTAATCAGGCTATGTTCAGTCTGAGGATAATTAATTTGAACTCACCTACTCACTCTTTTGCATACTTTTTAAACTTTGCCTGAAGGGTGGCAAACTCAGAAGTGTACTTTTTTGTAGGCGTGCATGAGAGGCTGTTTCTTCATTTCCTAGTCAGCAACCTGCAAGATAATGGAAATAAGCTAAACCACTTTAAAGAAATAAATCCAATCCCTTGACAACATTTTCTTCTTCTTTTTCCTTTTCCTCCTTGTCTTTTTTTTTCTTTTTTCTCTTCTTTCTTGTTTTCTTTGTTATTTTTCAAAACAGGGCCTCACTCTGCTGTTCAAGCTGGCCTCGAAGTCACGAGCAATTCTCTTGCCTCTGCTTCCTGAGTGCTGGGATTAAAGGCATGCGCCACTACTCCCAGCTCCTTGACATTTGTTTTTGGGATTAAACTCAGGATCTTAGGCAGACCCTTATGTCACTGAGCTCTAATACCTGGCTATTTTTATGTATTGTTTTTGTTTTTCTCCTTGCCTTCTTGAGTTGGCTTATATTTTAGTGGAGATATTCATTGTAGGAGAACTGTTTTTTCTTGCTCCTAGCTTAATACTATAGTTAAGAACATTCTGTCATACTATTGAATAGGAAACCAAACTCCCTGTACTAATTTTGAGAAGTTATGTTTATTTTAGAAAAGTAGGGTAATAGGTTGATTTTCATTTTTTTCTTTTCTTTTGTCAATATCAGAGAAACTTGCTAAAGAAGTCGGCACTTCTTATGGCTGCTACTTTGTGCCAGCATTTTCAGGGTTATATGCACCTTATTGGGAACCTAGTGCACGAGGGTGAGTATTAACGTAGCTAGCTATTATTATACATTGCCTGTTTCAAGGGGGCTGGAAGATAGGGTTTTAAATGCTCCAACTCAAAGAAGTAATAAACATTAATGAGATGAATGTGCTAATAATACCCTGATTTGATCATCAGACCTTGTAAACATCCATCAGAATACACTGTGTTCCATAAATATGTACAATTAGCAGTTAAAACATAAAGATGATAGGTATTGGTAATGCAGTCTATTTTTGGAGGTCTTGCTTTATTACTAAGTTAATAAATAATTAGCTAATAGTTTTCCTATTTTCAAATTATTTAAAAGTGTTGAACAAATCTTTTGTTTGGTGATGCAAATTTTAATCTTTTAAGCTCCAAGAAGTTATAAATCAGCAGACAGTAGTACCTGCCATATCTATACCTGTGTTAATGTCATTGTCATTTGTTTTAAAATCATCTGCAAGGTGTACAGTTCAGCAAGAGGACCTCATCTAAATGAATAATTCTGGTTTGCTTTTACATTACGGTCATCTGTTCAGATGAATCATGAACTTTCTCTGTACATTTCTGTCTGCCAGATTCACCCATTCCATCTTTGAGACATTTCAGATCAATGATTCATTTATACCACTCTAATTTGAAAATTTCACATGTATTTTTAGGATAATATGTGGACTTACTCAATTCACCAATAAATGCCATATTGCTTTTGCTGCATTAGAAGCTGTTTGTTTCCAAACCCGAGAGGTAATGAATATGTGCCTATTTTCTTGTATTTAATTCACTTTTGTTATTTGTAAATTATATATTAGTACCTGAAATTTATTAAATACTAAAAATATTCCTTATAAAAAGTAAAGCCTGTGAGGGCTGGCCAGATAACCTAGTGGATTAAAGCACTTACTTAGGCAGACACAGGGACCAGGGTTTGATCCCCATAGTGCGTTGCTGACCCCACCCCTATGGCACGCTAAACCAGCGATTGAGACTAGGCATGGTGGCATGCGCCTATAATCCCAGATCTTGGGAGGCTGAAAACAAGAGAATCACTACAAGTCCAATCTGTGTAGTGAGACCCTGTAGACCTTGTACTAAATACAAAAAAAGTGAAGCCCAGGTAAACATTGAATGTAAGCACTCACACAACCCTGTTCAACTATCATCACCTCCTAAGTACCAGTTAACTGCCAGACACTGGAAAGGCCAAATATATTAAGCAAAAGAAACAGCAATTACATAGACGTGAAGACAGGAATCCAGGGTGCAGAATAGTTGTTTGGCTTGCTGAAATTCAGGGTAAGCACAGAGTTTTAACGAGAGAAATATTGATTGTAACCAGATTATGGAGAGCCTGATAGGTCAGAATAAGATGTTTCAATTTCATTCTATAGGCTTTGGGGAGCTTTTTGGAGGTTTTGATTTGGGGATTACCATTTTTCAAGGTGCTACAGTGAAGTATTTTCATTATGTTAATTGCATTACTTTATTTCAGATTTTAGATGCTATGAATCGCGACTGTGGAATTCCACTCAGTCATTTGCAGGTAGATGGAGGAATGACCAGCAACAAAATCCTTATGCAGCTGCAAGCAGACATTCTCTATATCCCAGTAGGTCAGTAAGCCTTTGTTGCCTTACCTCTGGGAATAGTGTGTCTTTTGGAAGAACTGGCTCTTAAGCAGAGTGAACTACAGGGTTGCTGATGGAGCTTTTTCCCCTCAGTGAAGCCCTCCATGCCAGAAACCACTGCACTGGGTGCGGCCATGGCAGCAGGAGCTGCAGAAGGCGTGGGTGTTTGGAGCCTCGAGCCTGAAGATTTGTCAGCAGTCACGATGGAACGGTTTGAACCTCAGATCAATGCGGAGGGTATGTTTAAGTAATTAAACTTTGAATGCTATAACTGTGGCAATGACCTTAGTGTAAGCGAGTTTGCCATTCTGCTGATTCATAAGTTAAAGAGCTAAGTAAAACAATAGATGATACTGTTTCAGATTCAACTGCTAAGCATACTGGGCTACACTGAAAAGTTTGAGGGAAAGAATTGGTTCCCTATTTTTTAAAAAAAACAACTAAAAGCACTTTTTTTTAATTTATTTTTATTTATTTATGTGTGTGTGTGTGTGTGTGTGTGTGGCCAGCTCAGCCCACCTGGGGGCGGGGCTGGCTGGCATGTGGTGCTGGGGGATTGAACCGC